AGATATTCAATCTTATTTACAAAATGGTTACAAATTGTGCATGGGGTCGATGCAATTTTGTAAATTTCTTAAACCTAGTATAGAGGTCATATTAATCTGTATTTTCAGCAGGGATGTTACACCACAATTAGGCCATTTCATACAGGGCACAGAAAAAATGCTATTATTCAGTATTTTACCATAGTTTTGGAGAGAACATATTTGCAAAATGTCAGTGATTCTGTTAATGGGCACTCATCCCCAAATTCACAGCAGTAACTAGCATTTGACAAGAAATGAAGAATACAAAGAAGTAATTTAAATAACGCAAACATCTCCTTTATTAGACTCATGAAAATGGAAATCAAGGAAAGACATGGTCCAATGGCTAACTTTTGTGGAGTGAATGACTAAGATACAAATACTTTCGGTCCTCTTTCAAATGTTATATTGGCACTTTATACCTTTCTGAAAAATGTAAGGACAATGTGAGGTAGACTTACAATTCAATATAAGGAAATTTAGGCTTCTCTGTAGCATATGCAAGGTAATTTGCACAGGCTTAGAGAAATTTGGTCTGTGTAGGATAGCTGAAGATCATCATTATTCACCTGGTAACTAATAATTGAGTTTGGTGTACAAAATAGGTTTGAGAATAAAAATGCCTTATAAATATCAAATGTATTGTCTACAGTAATATTGTATATTATCAGTTATATGCCTTTTATAAAATAAATGCTGTTTTTCTTTCAGTTTTTAAAATCTCTAACCACAGAATTATACATATATATTTTTTCTTAAATTCAAGATATTCTGTATAGATATTTCAATTAATCAAATATTTATTGTATATCTCCTTGAGCCTTGCATAATACTAGAAACTGGAGATATGGCTTTGAACAAAACAGAAACAGCTTCATACTTTCTGAAACACAGGACCAGTCAAGATAACCTATAAAGTGTTTATGGGAAAAGATAATTTCATTCTTACTTTGATTTGGTCAGAATGTAATTTAAAATTAGGAACTACAATAGAAGTTACCTTATAAATGTTGGTTGCAAATTCCATAGTACCTTTTTTCCCAATTAAATCTAAGAACTATTCATTGAGTAACTATTGCTCTAGGTTTGATGCTACAGATACAGCACTGAAAAATATGTCTTACCTTCATGGGGCTTAGTCTAATTATATTTCAGTTACAAATGCTATGCTATATATAAGTTAAATTCAAGATATTAGAAAATAGTGTAGATTACAATTTACTCTGTATATAAAAAGATTCATGACATCTTTTACTTGACTTGCATGCATTAATCTAGTCGGAAACATTTGAGACACAAACATATTTAAGTGTTTACTGGAAATTTTCAGCAATGAAATGATACTTTTTTCATCAATGTCATGTCTAATATATCTTACTATATTTAACCATGACTTTTATTAAAAAGAAACAGTTCTGTTTTGTCAACTTGCCAGAAATGTTTGTATATAATATGATAAGAAAACTCATAGTAGCTTTTTACTATCAATTGATTAAATGACCAAGAATCTATCTGTGTCTCTCTCAATTTACTCTGATACATTTTCTGCAGTGGAAGTAAAATACAATGAAATGAGATACTTTGAGCTCATTCACGCATTCAACATTTTTCTTTCTTAGTTTCTGCACTCATCCAGACATTTTGCATCTTTGTTTGGGTATCAATTAAATGTGTTCCTCCTTTGCCTATCTTTCTTAATGTTTATTTGTTACTTTATTTCATGTTAGTGAGAGGGAAACTGTTGGTTGGTGCAACACAGGTGATTCCTTGGTAAAGTCTTTGATAAAACTTGTGGAAAACTTTGTTATTCTTGTGTGTTACCACACGATCTAAATATAGCCATACATTTTTGTACTCTTACTAGATCAACATCTAAACAAGCTTTTCTCTTTTCCCAGTCCTTGTCCCTCTTTCTTATCTTAAAAATGCAGTCAAGCCTCCGCAGTCAACCAAGACAGAAACATTAGGTATTCCTTCTAACAAGTAAATAATTTGTATTTCTAAGAACTTTCTTACAGGTTAGTATCTATTCTCTAGAATTTTTTTAATCCAGAAAGAAACCTACCTGAATATATTTTCTCACAAAAATAAGTCAATTTCATATTTTAAAATTGTAAAATTACAAAACCAATGAAAACTTTAAGAATATATGTAAATGCTATTATAACATTACTTTCTGACACATATTTAGATAATCAAATTAATCAAAAGAAAAGTGTAAGATTGTACATTAAAACTGTCCTATAAGTGTCAGTGAAATTCTACATTCTCTGATTGTGAGGTTTTGATATTCAACAGCAGAATAGGGTTTATACCAAGCATAAAGGAAAAAAGAATATTTTCAAGGAAAACAAACAATACACAAATAAATTACCCATCATTAATTGCTAAACATTTATAAATCCTCCTGACCAGAATTGCTAGCAGATGCTGAGTTTTGAATTAGGGATGATAAAAGTATCATCTGGATTGACCATGTGTATTAATTTGAAATTTTAACGTGTAAGATTATGCTGGATTTTTTATTGTCTCCTTTCTAAATCCCTTTTCTAAGTAAAAGCCAAGCTCTTGAACAGACTATTTCTAAGAAACAAATGTCAACATTCATAGCAGATTAATAGTGTTGAAGAAAGGGATTTGATAAGACTATTATTCAGTATAATATAATCTGATTCTATTTGAAAAATTTTAGATAGGAAGTTGGAGATGGATACTGTGTTCCTTTGCACGAACTATTTGAAATACAATGTGACTCCTGAAAAATACACACTGTTTCAGCAATGTTTGAGCTATTACCTTTTCACTTTTTTTTTTTTTTTTTTTTTTTTGAAGTAGGACTTTTCTAAATGTAGACTGAAAAATAACCTTTATTTCCTGGATAGCAGTCAAAATCTCCTTTCTTTGTCATCTAATGGAAAATTATTCCTAGAGCAGAAGAGCATCACCTAATGTCTCATGAGAAAGCTATTAGTATGAGATCGTCACATTTCTTAGATAAAAACTTAATGCCAAACATTAATGTAGAAATTCATTTCACAATCTTTCTTACGTCTTACATCTCCCTTCTGCTTTGATGAAGGTTGTATGGTTAGGTCATAAAAAATAATGAACTGGGTTTTAGAAGTAGAAAGATGATCTAATTTCCTTTCTTTTTTTTCCCCTCACCGAGAAAATGGAACCAATAGTCATGGAAATGACTGATGATGAAAATGGGAGTGATTTTAAATGTAGAAAGAACTGCAATATCAAAATTAATCTGGAGGGTTTCGTACATGCAATGCAGTAAGGCATTTGAGATGTGACCACCAATCCACAAATAACCCTCTTGTGGTGCCACACATTCCTTTCATTTATCCCTTTTCAGTTTAAGATGACTCCTACAAATTTAGCTTGGAGTTCTACACAAGAGAGATGAGTTTCTCAAGGCTACCGTGGGAGATGGTGTCGGTTGCCTTCCCAATATCCATGTCCCTCTTCTTCCTCACTAACACTCCTACTGGTTTGGGTTTTGTCCCAATAGCAATATTTCCACCTCAACAGTTACTTATTTAATCTCTCTTGTGGTAGGGAGAGCCGTGGGATATTGTTCTGGCCAATGAAATTCAGACATGATCCTAGAGGAGAGCATTTCTTCCCAAATAAAAAGTCACAGGTTCACTACAAGGAAGTCTCTTGCTTGCTGGTCTGACTTCATCCTGCCTGCAATTCAGAAAGACTGCAGTTCAGTCTTTAGAAGTAGCCGCCATCTTGTGCCTGAAATGAATAAAACTGACACACTGAGGATGGCAGAACAGATAGCGGGCACTGTGGAACACTGAACTAATACCTGCAACTGCCTCCTACAGGCTTCTTATGTGGAAAAAAAAAAAAAAAAATCCTCATTTCTATAAACTGTTAATTGGGTTTTGATTACTTGTAGTTGAACACTTCATGGACTGATGCATGATTTCTCTTAAATTGCTTTTGTATTGAACAGTAGGGGAAAATGCAGTACATATTGGGCAGGAAGGTGCTATGTGTAGTTCTAGCTAATTTCTTCAAATAATAAGAATAATATTTTCAGAGGATATATCTCAGTTTTTATTTTCCTGGATAACTTAAAGCTATCCAAAAGAGAATTCATTTCTGTGGTCAGTCATTGTTTGTGGAGGACAAATTAGCTAATCAAGCCAGTGTTGTGAAATAAAGAATCAAGTACAAATTGGCTTTAGTGCATGTTATCCCACAGCCATATCCTTATTTCAATGAACCACAGGATTTGTTATTCATTATTTTGTGTTGCTAAGAATAATTGGCAATCCTATCGATTTCATTTGAGATGGCAACATTTTTGTGATTGAGGCATTAATTTTAGCTTCCACTTTATGCTAATTACTTACCTACTGACTGCAGTCAATGTCACCTTGGCTGAAACAATCTCTCTAAGGATAATTTGACAATTGATACCAAAAATCTTAAAAATATCCACACTCTATGACCTTGGAATATCATGTGTGGAAATTTGTTTTAAAGACCAATCAGAAATAAATAAGTTAAATTACCAACAAGAGGGGTTGGTTAAATAATTACTATTTAATGTATACTATGACATATCCTATTCTCATTAAAATACAGAGTAGTAATTACTATTAAATACGCATTATATAATATTAAACAAAACAAGATTATAAAATATTATTTCAATTCTAGGGAAGAAAACAGATAAAAGACTGTAACATTTATACCAAAATTTTAGGAGTGTTACTCTCAGAGTGCACAAATATGAGTGGTTGTTTTTCACTTTTGTAATTTTCAATCCTTTCAAATCCTGCAATCAATGTATATGATTCAGTGAAAGATATTTTAAAAAGTTTCTTGGCTATTAGCAGCATGACTCTAATTTAACATTGAAAATAGTTAAGAGCAAATCGTTTTTGTTGATTATCTTTTCATCAACAAGCAGTTTGACAAAAGATTTGTTTCTTTGTTTTTTAATACAGAAATCCTAAATGGTGGAGTCTATGTAGACCAGAACAAATTCCTTTGTTATGCGGACACCATTCATTGGCAAGATATTGTTCGGAACCCATGGCCTTCCAACTTGACTCTTGTGTCAACAAATGGTAGTTCAGGATGTAAGTAGAATTATTATTTTTAATGTCTCAAAATGTTCTACTTTATTTGGAGATGAATGAGTTAGGCTTATCATGCCATTACTAATATTTTGAACTTTGATTGCACTCATTGAAATGTTCAGTTATATGTGATAGAACAAATGGCTGACCAACCTTTTACTTCTAGTTAATTCTCTTTTGGGAATCATGCTTCCTCTTCACAAATTCTCATTGTGTTAACATGTTCCTCTTTGCTTAATTTAAATTACTTAATCATACTTCCAATGTACAAACCTGTGTCCCACTATCCATGAACTTAAGGCTGGTATCCAACCATTGCTTCAAGTCTCTGTGACCCGTATACCATTGAGATAAAGGTAGTAGAACAAAAATGTACCTTCCTATTCACTGTAATTTTTTAAATAAAAAAGTAAAAACTAGTGAATGTTGCAGAATTCTTAAGCCTTCATTTGCCCCTGAAGACTTCATGGTCATACTTAATGATTTCAAACACTTATGGAATGGAGAAATATAGATGTCATATAAAAGAAACATGTTACTGTCTGATTTTAGTCATTAGTCTAATAAACTACTGAATTTCTCATTCTTAAATTGTGTATTCTTTTTACCACAAAGAATTTATCAGATTTAAAGTGTTTAATATGATTAAATAATAAGCAAATAATATTTGAACCATGATTTAAACCTTTGAAAATTATTCTGTCTGGTATCTCTTTCATTTTCATAAAGCAGGCTATGTTGTCCCCACATTTATTACTACTGACATTTGTATGAGAACAGAATCTTTATCAAGTGTTAACCTGGGTTTTATATTTCTCATCTATTATATATTTCCCAGCTGAAATCATAACTGTCTCAACGTAGTTCAATAATTATTTGCTATATTACTGATTGTGTTATGACATTTTTGTGAAAAATCAAACTCCAAGGGACAATTATTAAATTTCATCGTGGCCCTAATAATATAATGGGGAAATATGAATATATTTGATCAAAACTGACAGCTGTGTTTTTAATAAATGGCTAAAACTTTATGTAAAAAGTAGAGTAACATAATTTTCTTGTCACCTTTGAGCAGAAATTTGTATGGGATTTTGTCTTTGTGGTATTCACGTTGCCTACTTTGTAAAATTACCTGTGAAAAAAATGGAATCTTTTCACATTAAGGAGACAAATGATGTGTTTCAGAAATGGCTTCTGTTTTCAGTCTGCCCATACTATTGCACATATTATATTGGCAGGGTAGCGGTGGTGGGGTATGGATATTGGTTGGGTAAAAGGAAAGGCCTGCTGACTATCAGCTTATCAGACTGACTAGTCTGTAATGCATGAATAAGATCAGGCAAGAATAAAGCCTGAGACAGAAGCCAAAAGGGAAGTGTGCCCACCAGCCTTACAGAATTTGGAGCAGGAAAGGTCTGAGGGGTTTGCTGCACTTTCACAGATGGTGTCTCTTTGTGCTATTCTTTTTGAAGATAAATTTGGATGGTTGTGCCTATAATTAGGCAACTGTGGCTGTATTGTTTTTTGCATGTAAATAATTGCAGGTGCAAAAATTATAAATGCAGAGTAGAGTCATAACCAATGGTCTTTTACAAATTACGAATTGATTGCCAAAGTTTTATTATTTACATAGTAGTTTTATTTGCTGACACATTATATGTATCACATGACACCATAGCTGTTAATAATGAATTGACTATTCTTTGACTATTAGTTTCCTATGATTTTATCTTTAGTCAATTTATTTCTCTGTCCTCTCCCCAGGGGTGATCTCAGACACTCTCAGGGCTTTAAATGCAACCTCTAGGTTGATGACTCCCTAGAACTACATACCACCAACCAATCACTCAACCAGGTTAAAAATTTGGTGGGTCATTATTGTCTTTACTTTCACTTGGCTCTTGGCAGTTAATCACTGAGTCATCCTGATTTTTGCCCATTTCTTGATTTTACATATTTATTATTATGGTTGCCCTAGTTCAAGACTTCATCTGTGTCTAAATTACAAAAACAAACTCTGAATTTTTAATATTTTCTGAGGCAATGGACACTGCAGCAGCTTGGTGAAGCCCATTGACCTCTTCTCGTAATATTTTTAGAAGAATAAATGAGCACAAAACAAATACTTTAATTCATGAATGCATAGCAATCAATAAATACATAAAATAAATTACAATGGATTATAAGGAAAACAAGTTAGGTTGAGATACAGTTATCAAAATGCTGAAGAAACAGATACCTAATATGGTAATATGCTTATTAGTATATTAAATTATAAATATTAGCAGTAGGATTAATATCTAATATAATTTTCAATCAGTGATAGGCATAAATAATATATTTTAAAGGGAAGTCTCTTCAACAAATGATGCTGGGAAAAATAGATATTCATGTGCAAAAGATTAATCTTGGGCCTTTATCATATGCCATGTTCAAAAATTAACTCTAAAGCGAATTACAGACCTAAGCATAAGACTTAAAACTATAAAAGTCTTGGCAGAAACTATGAAGACAAAGCTTTATGATTCTAGGTTTAGCAATACATTCATGGATATAATGCCAAAAATACCAAGAGCAAAAGCTAAAATAGACCAATGGGATGATATTAAGGAGATCTAGTCACATGCTACAACAATAAATCTTGAGGACACTATGCTAAAGGAAATAAGCCAGTCACAAAAACATAAATACTGTATGACTTCACTTACATGAAGTAACTAAACTGTCAAACTCACAGAAAACAGAATGTAGAATGGTGGTAGCCTGGGGTTGGAAGGAAGGCTAAATGTTCAATTGCTCTTTAACGAGTCAAGTTGTAATTGTGCAAGGTTGAAAAAGTTCTAGAGATCTGTTGGAAAACAATGTGATATACTTAACATTACTAAACATACACTTAAAAGTGGTTAAGACTGTGAAGAAAAGGTCTGAAGTATCTATAAAAGCAATTAAAATTGATACTCCTTAAAAATATGTTATTTAGGAATAATTATAACCAAGTTATATTTTCTAAAATTTACTTGAAGTATTTAAATTCAAACTTTGGGAGGGTTATGGAGAAGTTCTAAGCCTTTTGAAGAAATCCTTTTTTTCCTCATACATCCCTAGTAGAAATTATTACCTATCAACTGGGCTTATTCAATAAACTAATCCTTCGAAGTGAAAAAATCATATAGTGAATGATGTTTCATTTACTTGGAGCACTATAGTAATGATCCTCAGCACCACAAGAATATCAAAATGATGTAAATAAGTTGCCCTCTAAAATTTAAGCAAACAGGAATATACAAGAATATTAATATGGAAAAAGAGAGAAACAATGATTTCTCATTAGAGAAGATGGTATAGTTCAGAGAATGAATTTGGGAGCCAAATTGGTTTTTTTTGAAACCTGGCACTGCTGCTTACCAGCACTTTGACCTTAAAAAAGTCATTTATGCCCTCAGCCCCTCCATTTCCTCACCTATAAAAGACAGAGTGTCAAGAGCTGAGCTGAGTGGAGAGCTAAGCTACTAGGTGACAGTGGTCAATTCAGACAAGCAAAAATGGGGTAACAGTCAAGCTTTTAATCACTTACTGCAATGGTTTATTCAAGAGACTAAACCAGCGAAAGCACCAACTTCACTGTTTCATGTTTCCCCCATAAAACAGTGCCAGGTGAGGGTCAGATGGATCAGTGCAGACATGGGGAATTGTTTCACTGAGGAGGGAGTGGGAAAAAATTGTTCTGAAAGTTTTATGAACCTGGAAGCTTGAAGGAGAAAGGGGTGGGAAGGCCTGAGTGAAAAGTACTGAGGATGGAGTCAGAGTGGAGAAAAGGTGTCTTCCAGACCCCCTTACTTCCTCCCTACAAGGAGATCTCAGTGAAAGCATCTAAGGAAAGCTGCTATCAAAGGACCTTAATAAAGAGGTCTCTGAATAGCGTGCCTGGGCCAGGATGGGAGACATACATGAGACATGACTGGTCAGCAAACCCTGAGTCTCTTACTGCAACTCCCTTAGAGGCTGCATTGCATTGACTGGGCACCAAGTCTGGTGTGGGAGGACAACTTTCCCCCCAGGAACCCTGCCAGGTAAAGTAATTACCTGTGCTCCTGCATGAAAGATCACACATAGGTTTTTTGTTTTTTGTTTTGTTTTGTTTTGTTTTGTTTTTGCCCAGGAGCTGTTATTATCATCAACTTCATAGGCCTATTATGAGCAATAAATGAGTTAATGTGTCAATCCAAGGGTGATTTCTTATGACAAAAGAATAAAGGACTTTCCAATTATAATTTTTATATGAATTGACCATATGAGGACAGAAGTATTTTTAAAATATGTGACAGTTATGTTTTCATTATATATTCATTGACATTTAACTGTGTTTCTACATTTTAAGCGTGTTTTAGTAACTAGAAGGTAGTCTCTCATAGGTGTAGCTCATCAAGACACTGAGAAGAACAAACCTCAGTGGCTCCAGACCCTGCAACCTTTATCTTTGATTACACTAGGTACATCACTTATTCTAAGTTGCTTTCTAGAAACGAATACCAACTAACAACTGAAGTGGGAGAGGGGGAGTTGACAAATTCATCAATACCACTGTATTCATGAACATAATTCCAGGACTAATTACTTGTTTAAACCAGATGTTCTGCCTGCATTCAAACTATCCATGTTTTAAACTTTTTTTCAATGACTTTTACATATCACAGTAATGACCCACTCCTAATTAATGTTGCACTTTGTATTATATATATCTAGCTTTCTTGAAATAGAATTCTCAAGATAGAGTACAGTTAAACCTAATTTGTTACATTACCAACTTGTGTTACTCCTTCCATATGAAAATATTTAGGTAAAATAGATGTGCCTTTCTAAGGTACTTTGTAGTAAAGCAAAACAAAATTAAAAAGCAGCAAGAAAATTTACCCTCGATGTATTGTAGTACAGCTTCAGTTTGTGTGCATTAGACATACAACACATCTAACTTTGCATAAACGTATACATGAAATGAA